TCCCGGTCCCGTCAGCCGCTCCTCATAAGACCTGTTCTCCAGACCCTTCACCAGCTTTGTTGTCCGTCTCTGGACACACTCCAGCACCTCAATGTCCTTGTAGTGAGGGGCCCAACACTGCACGCAGTATTCGAGGTGTAGCCTCACCAATGCCGAATAGAGGGGCACGATCACGTCCCTACTCCTGCTGGCCACGCTATTTCTCATACAGGCCAGGATGCTGTTGGCCTTCTTGGCCACCTGGGCACACTGCTGGCTCATGTTCAGCCAGCTGGCAACCAGAACCCCCAGGTCCTTTTCTGCCTGGCAGCTTTCCAGCCACTCTTCTCCAAGCCTGTAGCACTGCATGGGGTTGTTGTGACTGAAGTGCATGACTTGGCACTTGGCCTTGTTAAACCTCATATAATTGACCTCAGATCATCAAACCAGCCTGCCCAGATCCCTCTGCAGAGCCTTCCTACCCTCGAGCAGATCAACACTCACACCCAATTTAGTGTAATCTGCAGACTTACTGAGGGAGCACCCAATCCTCTCATCTGGATCATTGACAAAGATGTTCAATAAGACTGGCCCCAAAACTGAGCCCTGGAGGACACCGCTTGTGACCAGCTGCCAGCTGGATTTAATGCCATTCACCACAACTCTCTGTGCTCGGCCGTCCAGACAGCTTTTTCACTCAGCGTAGAGTACACTTGTCTAGACCATGAGCTGCTGGATTTCCTAGGAGAATTCTTTGTGAGACGCTGTCAAAGGCTTTACTAAAGTCCAGGTAGATGACATCCACAACCTTTCTCTCATCAACTAGATGCGTCACCTGGCCATAGAAGGAGATCAGGTTGGTTAAGCAGGACCTGCCCTTCATGAACCCATGCTGGCTGGGCCTGAGTCCCTGGTTGTCCAGCGCATGCTATGTGGACACACTCAAGATGAACTGCTCCATAATCTTCCCCATTACCACAGTCAGGCTGAATATATTGGAATCCATGTGCAAATAAAACCTATATGCCTTTCACAGTTAATTTTTGTCTTTTTTTTTTTTTTTGTATTTCCTCTTGAGAATCCTATATGTTACACTTTTCCTGCATAATTAGATAGCTTTTTAGAAACTATAATATATATAGATACATGTGTTTATATACAAGATACCT